GGCCCCAGCAGGGCAGGTGGACAGTGTGGATGCTCTGTGGTTAGAAAACATGGGGCAGACTCAATCATGGTAGCTCTCCCTCTATTTGCTGGCGCCACCCGCCCCCCCCATGCCGGGAGCGGCCAGCCAGGTCTGCGCACTGGCAGGAAGGGGCGGGGGGCAGAAGGGGGAGTGACACAGGAAACAGGAGAAGCGACTTCCAGGAGTCTCTGATGGTTCCCTGAGGACAAAGCCTATGGGGTAGAGGTAGAGAAGCCAGAGAGGAAGCAGGCAGCTTCCCCAACAGATGAGAGGAAAGTCCCCAGGCTCAGGAGGGGAGGGGAATAAGAGAAGTGAGAGACCAAAGAGCGGGTTTGCAGCCTGCCAGCACCTCCGGGCTGCAGCAAGACCCCCTGAGACCAAGCTCAGGGCACAGGGAGCAACTCAGAGGCCTTCCTTCCCATCCGGGCAGGTGGGTGGGCTCCTCTCAAGGTACCGGGGGCTCAGGCCCAGGTGCCACCCAACAAGCTGGCAGTGCATCCCCCCAGCCCCCACCCCCCTGGGAAGAGCGGGTGGCACGGCAGGGACCCTCCTAAACAGCTGAGCCCAGGGGAGTCACAACGAAGTCAATTAAAGTCCTAGTCATTGTTCACCTCGAGCCAGGACGAGGACTGAGACCTCTCGAACGTGTGTCACAGTGCACCCCAACTTCCTCTGAAATCACCCCATCCCCCAAACCCCCAAGGCGACAACCTGTCCAAGCCCGGAAGACTGCCACACTTGGGCTTTGTCAAGGTGGGACCAGCCTCCACCTCTTGCTGGCGGAGAACCCAAGGCAGGAGCCCCTGAGGCTGCGGCATGTGTGGCCACGGCTCTGCCTGTCTCCGCCCAGGCTGTGAGCTCCAGGCAGGAGGGCTCTCCTCCCTCTCGCCACCACAGCCCAGGCAGCCTGCTCAGAGCTGGAGGCGGTGAGGCCTAGCAAACACTAGATGAAAGAATGAGTGAGGAGCTAAGCCCAGCCCAGCCCAGCCCCAGCTCACCTGGTACCAGGAGTAGGCCCGGTCGGCCGGGTTGATGAGGATGGTCAGGATCTTGGCCTTGGGCAGCAGGGCAGCGGCCCGTTCGGGCCCCACTTCCGAGTCAAAGTAGTTGGCACTTTTCTCAAAGTAGAAGTCGGAGGTGGTGTTGGAGGGGATGGGGAAGAACTCCATGTACCTGCAGGCACAGAGGGGTGGGGGTGGGGCGTGTTCATGAGCAAGACCCGTGAGGAAGGGAACAGGAGAGTGGGGCCCAGGGGTAGCACTTCTCGGGACACATTCTAGCCAGCTCCCATCAGAGCAGGGGCCAGCCTCTTCTGACGCATTTCTCTGCAGGCCCCGTGGTTGGAGGATCTTAGGGTTTGAGTGACTGACATTCAACTCTAAGCCCTGGGGTCCCAACACCCACACACCTTCCAAAGTTCAATGCCCCCACCTACACACTGACAGGGCTGGCTCTCTCTCTCTGGAGGTGCTGCCCTCTTCCGACCTGGGGTGGAATTTTCTGGGCTGTCAGTGGACCAAGAGACCAAGGAAGGGATGCTGTCACCTGCTGTCCCCTGGAGCCCCTTCCCCAGGGTGACTGTCCACACTAGTCTTTCAGGGCCACCTCTGAGCTGAAAAACCCCTCTGGAAACTAAGCACACACTCAGACCCCCTAGGGACACTTCCTCAAGCAGTCAGGAGTACAGCTTCAGGGATCACCGGACCTGAGCCCACCCTAACGGAGGGGTCTGTAGGGTCTCACTCCACCCTCTGCGCCTAAGGACTCTCTTCATCACAGCCACCGAGGGCTGCCTAGGTCCCGCCACCCCACTCGAGACCCACCCCCAGAATTAAACCTCAAAGTGGCCCCAGAGGGCCGTCCCGTGTCCCCAGGCAGTGAATCTGAACCACCACAGACGGCCTCCTCCCTCCAAGCGGCTCCCCCAGGTGCTCCACCCGCTGTACCCCAGCACTGCGTCTTGGGGCTCCCCAGAGCCTGGCTATCGAGGTCCTGTTCACCGTTCTGAGCACACCACAATCCTGTCTGTAGGGCCTACACCAAGCAAGCTCTGGAAACGGAAACTGCTTCCCTCGATTCCTAGAAAAGTCAGCACAGGCAGCACCTCTCGACCTGTTTATCTCTCTGAGTGTAACTAGACATACGTGTCTCTCCATGTTAATGTACTTGCTAGCGGGGTGCTGCCCAGGCCCTGCTGAGGCTGCTGCTAAAGACAGAATATAACACGTTACCTTTCTAAAAGAATGCAGAAATTTGACTTTCAAATACACTTCTGGACACCACCGGCTTTAGATGAGAAATTGGTGGGCACGTGAAGAGAGGCAGATGACAGGCAGATGCCAGATGTCAGACAGTCACACTTACTGACCAGACAGGATACAGACAATGGGTAGGCCAAAAGAGAAAATAAAACTACACACGAAGAACTTCCCAAAGATCAAACAGAAGGTAGCCTGCAAGCTCTCCACCACGTCTGCTCAGGGATGTAAACACAGCAGCAGCACACGCCTAAGGCGAGGAACGTAACAACGTACAAAGACATGCCAAGTAGAAAACTGGGGGATAAACCACCCCTAAACAGGCCCCACTCCAAAAACCACCCCACCTCCACTGACAGAGTCTGGTAAGAAGCCGCCATTCGAAGCACTCTGTCAGGGCTCAGCCCTCACTGGTCTGTCCATTTGTTGTGCAGTGGTGGCCTGCATGCATTTCTAATATCAACAAGTCATTGATGGTGGCCAGGTTGCAGCTGAGCTTCCAGACGACGAGACTAGGATGAAGAAATGGGGGGACTCATTTCTGAGGGATCAGTCCTTGAAAACCTTTGTGTGGCTGTGGAACATTGCCTGTTCTTAGGGCGGGAAGATGAGCCTCTCTGGTGGGAAGGCAATAAACATACAACCAGGGAAGGGCTGCCACCTCAAAGGAGACTCGACCTTCAAGACGCGAAACTGTCAAGCTTTCCGGATCTTCCTTTGCTGATGGGCACAACTCAACATGAGCAGAAAGAGCGGCAGGCATCCATTCATAATAGGAACGTGGAGAGCACGCATCTAGGAAAACTGGAAGTCGTTAAGTCTGAACCGGAATGCATAAAGATCAACATCCTTGGCAGCAGTGGGCTGGAAGGGACTGGCCTGTGGGCTTCTGAGTGATACAAGCACACGGTTACTTTGCTGGGCCTGACGTGTCAAAAAGGAACATTTCAAGATCTATCTTGAAGCACAATACCACCTCTGACAGGTCAATACCCATATATCTAAATAACGTCTACTTAGCATAACTGTTATTCAAATGCACACACCAACCACGAAAGCTGGTGAGGAAGAATGAAGTCTGCCAACGCGTGCAGCCTGAAAGGGACCCACGTGCGTGCCAGCGGATGCGCCTGGGATTCAAAAGCTGCACAGGAAGAGGGCTGGCAGTTGGAAAGGAGGGGCTTGGTGAAAGGAGTGGACCTGGAGACCTCATGACATAACTTCAAGGCCAGTCCCCGTTTGCTCACCAACATAAACGGCGACAATACTGGGGCCCCACCAGAAGGACTCTATAGGAACCAAATGATGACATCTGTGGATGGAGAAGCTCAATATCATCAGCCAAAACTAGATCGGGGGTCAACTGTGAAACTCACCGCCAATTACTTCCATGCAAGGTCAGGTTGAAGCCAAAGAAGAAAACTAAAACAAGGCCACCAGTGCCAAAATACCACCTAAGGGAAGTCTATCCCACCCGAGTGAATTTAGAGAATGTTTCCGGAACAGATGTGATGCATTGAACAGCAATGAGCCAAGACCTGGGAAGTTGTGGGGTGACATCAAGAACATGGCACGGAAGAAAGCAGGGACCATTAAAAAGTCGAGGAAGAAAATGCCGGCGTGGGTGTGAGAAGAGACTGAAACGTGCTCCCACACAGAGCAGCGAGAGCAAAGGGGGAAGCGACTGACAAAGGAGCTCAGCAGAAGACGTCCCAGGGCCACCAGCGAAGACACGGGAGAGCGTTATGATACCTGGAGTTAGAAAGGCAAAGAGGGGGCGCACGCTCAGCGTCACTCGAGCTGAAAGAACGGAAGAAAGCGCTCAATACTGTGGGGGCATGAGCAAAATACTGCGTGATGCAGGCAGCGTGCGAAGATGGATGAACTACAGAGAATACTGCACCCAAAAGAATCAGTCAAGGAGCCGATGATACCATGACTGAAGTAGAAAGAAAATGTTTTGGAAATGATGATGGCAATGTATGTACAAATGTGCTTGATACGATGGATGTATAGACTGTTATGAGAGCTGTGAGAGCTCCCCAACCATTTTAAGAGGCAGCATGTGACCAGGAAGCACAGGGTATTAAAGGAAGAAGTCCAAGCTGCACTGAAAACATTCGTGCAAAATAAGGCTCCGGGAGTCGACAGAACACCAACTGAACGTTTCAACAAGCTGATGGAGCACTGGGAGCGCTCGCTCATCGAGGCCAGGAAATTTGGAAGACAGCTACCTAGCCAATCGACTGAAAAATATCTATATTTGTACCTGTCTCAAAGAACAGTGGCCCAACAGAATACTGAAATTATCAAACAATAATCATTAAGATCACACGCAAGTCAAATTTTACTAAAGATCAGTCAGCAATGGTTGCAGCAGCAAATCGAGGGAGGGCTGGCAAAAATCCGGCCGGTGTCAGAAGAAGACGTGGCACTCGTGATGCCACTGCTGAGGTACGACAGACGGATCGTGGCTGAAGGGAGACGAGGCCAGAAAGATGTTGGCCTGTGTTTCATTGACCATGCCCAGGCACCTGACTGTGTGGGTCATAACAAGCAGTGGTAACACTGATGAAGAACAGGGATTCTGAACACTTCGCTGTGCTCATGGGAACCTGTACATGGATCGAGGGGGCTACCTGAACAGAACAAGAGGACACTGAGAGGTTTAACCTGAGTCAAGGCGGGAGCCGGGGCTGGGTTCTCTCACCACACTCACTAACCCGTGTGCTGAGCACAGCATCAGAGAAACTGGATTATATGGAGAGGAATGGGCACCCCAATTGGAGGGAGGGTTATCAACAACCTGCGAACACACACACACCACACAGCCTTGCTGCTGAGAGTGAGGAGGACTTAAAGCACTGGCTGATGAAGATCAGACCTGCAGTCTTCACTACGGGCTGCAATTCAATGTAAAAAAGACCAAAATCCTCACCAACGGACCGATAAGCAACATCCTAATAAACAGAGAAAAGACTGACGTAGTCAAGGATTTTGCTTGGATCCACAATGAAGGCTCGTGGAAGCAGCAGCCAGGAAATCAGAGGACACACTGCACGGAGTGAAGGTGCTGCACCCGACTCACAATGCTGCAAAGCAAGGGCTCTGGAGACCACGGTGCACTGCCTCCCCGCCGCGGTGCTCTCCATCGTGTAGTAGGCCCCTGACAGCTGGACACTGAGTGAGAAACAGGAGCTGGTGCATCCCTGGGGGTGGGGGGTGGGATTTTGGGGGACATCAAGTGCCCTGAGCTGCCCAGAGAACAAGCAAGGCTGCCTGGGAGGAACCCCGGCCAGGCTGCTCCTCAGACGCAAGGACGGCAAGCCTTGGTCTCGAATACTCGGGACGTGTGGGGAGACACCCTAGCTGGTAAAGTAGAGGGTCAGCAAAAAAGAGGAGGGAGGGTGAGGAGGCTGCAATGATGAGAATGGAGCAGGACTGGGCACAGCGCTTGTTCCTGCGCAAGGGTGCCGCAGACTCAGCCACACCTGCAGCTCCATGAAGGACAGGCAGGGGCGCACCAGAGGAGCTCCTGCCCCACGGTCAGCCTAGTGCAGCAAGAAGGGACAGTTGGAGGTTAGAACCTGCTCTGGTCCCACCCCCAGGTCCCTGTTTCTGCGAGAGCAAGGGAGGGGCTGGACTCTGACATCCAGCAGCCTCTGACCGCAGGTGATAATGCAAAGGGGCAAAGGGCTACCTCATCAAGGGTCCTGTCTGCGACGGGGCTTCAACACCACAACCCCAAAAGCACACTGTGCTCTGTCCTGTTTACAGGAACTTCAGCTGCGTGAGAGCAAGAGCCAGCTGCTTCCTGTGCCGGCTTTCCCATCCCGCTGGGGGCGGGAAGGTCCACTCACCAGTCAATGCCTTTGTGATAGTTGTGGCCATTGAAAAACTGGATCTCCTCAAAGGTCTCGGAGCTGGGATAATTGCTGCTCAGGTCTGGGTGCATGCTCAGGAACTGGTAGAGGGCAGTGGTGCCTGTGGGGAGGGGAGGCAGCTGAGACCCAAGGCCCAGTCCCTGAGAAAAAGAGGGAGACAGGAAGCAACATCGGGGTGGGGCGTGGTGGAGGTTGTTCTCTGAAACCTGGGCTCTGGGCTCAGCGCTCCATAGCTCCCCTCTTCTCTACGCCTTGATGTTCTCAGGGAAGGAATTCTACTAAACGCAGGCTGGCAAATACATGGCATGCACATGGGCACTCCAACTCCTGCACCCTCTGCAGACATGACTAATCCATCACAGCATTCATCACTGAACAAGCGCCCAGCCTCAGAATCCTCTCCACTGTACCACATGGCCATTTCCAAGTGCTTACTCCTGCCTCACACATAACCCCAGAACTGGATGGTGTCTCTCAGTCCCTTCCAGCTTCAGCCCTTTCCGGCAATCTGGAGGGGATTACCAAAAGGAGGGCCCTACAGTTCCCGGTGCGGTTAACACAGGAATTCTCAAAGGTCCGAGGAATGTACCTGAAATGTGTCCTTCTGTGGGTGCCTGGCCCTCACTCGTGCCCCCTTGTCTCCCAACGACCCAGGGAGCTCACCCTTGCCCTGTGGTGTGGTCTGTGGCTCCTTTAAAGCACGTGCTTGAGGGAGAGCTGTAGGTTTAGGGACTCACAGCATGTAAGTAAGCTTTGGGGTCACAAATACCGGGATTCAAGACCTGCCGCTTCTGCTGAACTGGACGTGTCTGAGGAAGTCATTTAACTTCTCTGAGACAAGAGTTCCTGGTCTGTAAAACTGGGCTGATCCCCATCCATGCCTTATGGGCAGGGCGCTTCAAAACAGCTTGTGGGAAAATGGAAGGAAGAGGTAATGGAGTTTTCCTGTGAACGTTTTGAAGCCCCCTCATCGGGAGGTGTGCATGGGGTTTCCACTTCTTTCCTGCGCCTCCGACAGACCTGACTCATTGATCACAGGCCTCTTGGCACGGAACTAGTTTTGCCAGGCTGGCGTGGGCTTCTCCGACTAGACCGAGAGACTCGCAGGGGGACCTGAGGGAGAATTCTGTGCCCACCCCACCCCACCCCTGCTTTCTTCCCACCTACATACTGACCAACCCTTCAGGATGACGCCACCGTTACGGCTGCCTCCTGGGGAAAACAGGGCAAGACAGTTCCCAGAAGGTTGACTGAGAGCAAAAAGCCAGGGTGGGGTGGGGGGCCGCTGCCTGGGAGAGACCTGCCTGTTTTCTGAGGCCCGATGATGAGCAGCTTGGGGAAGCGGTCACACGTCTTCTCCTTGGACCAGATGTCTTTGTGGCGCTTGTCCTCGCAGGGGTCCTAGAGCAGGGCGGGGGGGAGGGGGAGCCCCCAGTGAGCAGTCCCCACCTCGGGACAGGAGCTCCTTGTGGACAGAGACCGTTTTGGGTTGTCTCACCCTCCCCCCACCCCCACCCCCTGCTTACAGATCCTAGAAAACTGTCAGCCCCCGGCTGGACACCTAACAGGAGCTGGTGTGTCCCTGCTGGATGTAAGTGGCTGAGCTGAGGCTGAGCTAAGGGTCGGTTGGCAAGATTCTAGTGTTAAGTGCAGCCTCCGGTCTCTGCTGCAGCTCCTCAACGCTTCTGGCGCAGCATGAGCACAGCTACCGAGAATACCTAAGAGTGTGAGCATGGTGGTGTTCCAATAAAACTTTATTTACAAAAACAGGTGGCAACCGGCCATGATTCAGGGGGCCCGGCCTGCAGACACCTGGTGGAAACTTTGACACTACTTTGACCAGCTTCTGCTTTCAGGGACAGGCTTCCTCAAAAGCCCCCAGTGCCCTCCTCCTTTCAGGCCCTTCCCAGGGGTCTGCCGGGGTCAGAAAAGGCAGAGCTAATCCAAAAGCCAAGCCAGAGCGGGGCTGCCATCTCGTAGCCATCATCTGCGCACGTTCCCCTGCTCCCTGCACACGCTGTGTGAGTGTGCAGGCACGTAGGACTGGAGGGGAGGTGTGCACATGTACACGTGCACACATGTGCGCCCAGGAGCAAGCGCGCACCATGTTCCCACAGCGAGCAAGTGTGCCCCTGCACTACTTGACAGCACAGGTGAGGGCTTGCGGGGTCCAAGTCCTTGAGGCCCCGCCTAGAACCTGTCCCCGTGAGCGGGTGGGCATTCTATCCAGCTCCAAGGCACCCAGGCTGCCGTGCACCTCCGAGACCCACCTGCCAGAGCGGGTCCTTCTCCTCGGAGAAGATCTGGAAATACTTCTGAGCCAGCTGCACAGGGGGCAGTGTCTGCAGGCGCAGGTTGGTCCAGGAGTGCAGGAAGCGCACCAGGTGTTTGAAGGTGTACAGGCCCAGGCGGTCATTCCCGTAGTTGGACAAGTGCGTCATAAAGATGCTGATCTGCTCCCGGAGGGGAGGGGGGGGCAGGCCAGTCAGTGTCTGGGGCCCCTGCAGGGCCACCCAATGGCCAGTCCAAAGTATCTGGCTGTCATTGAACTAGGTGACCCCTGCCTGGTTAGGCATCAAACCCCCAAAAGCCCAGCTCACTGCCAGCGGGTGGATGCCAACTCCCATGGACCCTACGGGACAGGGTAGAACTGCCCCTGCGGTTCCCGAGGTTGTCCCTCTCTGTGGGCACAGAAAGCCTCGTCTTTGTCCCCTGGCCGGCCACAGCTGGGAAGAAACCTACCAAAGGCTACACCCTCGAAGTGGGAAGCCGACTTCCCGTGAAAGCTGTGAGTGTTTTGTTATTGCTGAGTACCAGCACACACCTGGCATGGGTTTCCTGTTGTTCCCGCCTGCGTGGCCATGACAGAAAAGGAAGACGAGCCCTAGGGAGCTCCCGGGACTAGTATCACCTGTGCATGTGTGTGAGGGACGCCGGGCAGAGAACGGGGGCCCAACATCAATGAGCTCATCAGAAAGCAGCGGGTGAAAGAGAGGAGGTGCCAGAGTCGATCCGGGATGCTCAGCACAGGGGGGGCAGGGGTCCCAAGGGGCAGCCCGGCACTCCCCCAGGACGCCCTGTCCTCCCGGCAGCCCTGGTGGTGGAGCACTCACAGGATTGAGGAGCACGGTGAGGAAGAGCTCCCCCCCGTTGATGATCTTGTCCAGCTCGTTGGAGCCACCGGGGTACTCGTTGTAGAAGATGGTGTGTGTGAAGAGGCCGCACGTCTGCCGAGGGAGGACCTGGGGGCAGGCGGGGGGGAGCTAGGGTGTCTCCGGGGCCAGGTGGGGTCTGGAGGACCCTTCTTCGGGAGCAGGGCAAAGCTAACCTCCTGAGAAAGCCTACCTCCCGTGCGACGCGGAGCCAAGGCCAGGGCCTGTTCCCAGGCTGGCTCCTCTCGCAGCCTCCGCTCTTGGGGACCCCTCTCCCTATAGCCCCTCCCCCTCCTGTGAACCCACAGGCCTTTGCTGTTGACATACACGCTGCTACCCTCTGCACAAGATGCCCAGTGCCGGGGTCACAGCTGCAGGAAGTGAGCGTGCCGGGAGCTCCGGATGTTTGCTCACGCGGGTGCCGACCCTCGCTAAGCAGCGCCCCACCCCCACTCCCCGCTGGGCCCGGGACACCCCTGGCAGCAGCACTCTCGGTCAGGCGTTGGCTTCTCTGTCCCCCACAGATGGAGGGCTCTGAGAGGACAAGGCACGCTCTGGAGCTTTCGTGATCGGTAGGGGGGAAACTGAGAGCCGGAAAGAGTGTGTGCAGACACATCTCTAGGGAGTCTGGGAGATGCCTCCCTGCCACATCCTCCCAACTGAAGTTATTCCTCACCCTGTCCCACCCCGCCCCACCTAATATTGTAAGGTCCCGCCTGCAAGCACATGGTTGCTGCTATGCACTGGAAGGCTGTCTGCCTGAAGGTCGTCCCATCAAGAGCAATCAGACCAGCCCACCCTAAGGAGGTCCACTCCTGTCTGGTAAGGATCAGAGACTGTTCACCTGGAGGAGTGCTCAGGGACACCTAAGGTCAAGTCAGCTCCAGGAAGGTTAGGCTGCCACCTTATCTCCAGAACCCGCCACCTTCCTGTCACATAGTACCTTCTGTCAGGTGTATATCTCTAGTGGCCCCCCCATCCTGCCACGTATGTGCTTGGCGTGGCTTGCGTGCTCGAGATCACATACGCCTGTGAGAGAAGACATTCGCTCTCTCTCTGGTTCCAGTCTCCATGGGAGAGGTGAGCCCTTGCATGTCTTGTCTGAGGCCTCTTTAATTTACCCCTCCATTACACAACTGTCCCCTAGGACCCATTGGGACGTGGAGGCTGGTCCCCCAGTCGGTGAAGGAAGGAATCAACAACGGAGCCAGGCCAGCCCTCCCTGCAGCTTCCCCTCGAGTCTGTGAACAACTCGCCAAGAAGCTCCAACCCCATCACTCCTCCTCTCCTCAAACACCCGGCACCCCACTGGCCAGCAGCTCCGCTGGGCACCATGTTCTCAGCAGAGCCTCTGCACGTCAGCACCACACCCTGAGCAGCTCCTCTGGACACCTGAGGTGGCCTCCCTGCACCCCCTCTCACCTGTGCCTCCATCCTGTGGACTCAGCAAGAGCCTTTGAAAAGTGGTTCTCAACCTGTGGGTCGAGACCCCTTGGGGGTTGAACGACCCTTTCACAGGGGTCGCCTGATTCATCACAGTAGCAAAATGACAGTGATGAAGTAGCAACGAAGATCATTTTATGGTTGGGGGTCACCACCACATGAGGAACTGTATGAGGGTCGCAGTATGAAGGTGGAGAACCACGGTTTTAAAACATGAGTCGGATTGGATCACCGCTCTGTGCAGAACCTTGCTGCCTCAGATTACAAGCTAGCGTCCTTCAATGGCCCACAAGACTCTGCAGTCCAGCCCAGCACCCCTCTGACTGCAGCTCTCCCCACATTCCCTTTTCAGTCACCTGGGCCTCCCAGCTGTCCTCAGACACCTCTGCCCTCACAGAAGGACATGGCCCCTGACCTTCCCCAGCACTCATTACCATCTCTCTTCCTCGGCCCCGCCCAGGAGCACAAGGCCCTCCTCCTGCCCTGGGCCCGAGCCCCTCCCATCAGTGCCCCCAAAGCAAGCAAGAGCTCATGAGATGGGCTGTCCCCGCAGCTCCGCTCCCCCAGCAGAGAGCCTGGGGCTGGGCCAGCACCCAGCGGCTCACCATGATGCCGTTGTGGATGAAGCCGCGGCGGTAGCGGGCCGGCTTCAGGTGAGGGTACTCCTCCGTGCTGGTCACGCGGATGCTCCACACCTGTTTCCAGGCCTCGTACAGTTGTACGTGCACGGGGTACACGCCTGAGTGGTGGGGGGCCACGGCGTACCCCATGTCTGTAGGAATGCCGTGCTCCTGTGGACGAGGATCAAGCAGGGTGGGCGTGGGGCCCCACCCCTCTGCGCCCTGGTCCTCCTGGGGACACCGAAGGCTGGATCCCCAGGGCAGGTGGTCCAAGTCCTCGTGGGGCAGGTGGGGAGGGGTGCGCATAGGGCCCAGACTAACTGGCTGAGCAAGACCAGAACCCAGGCCTCCTGACCTCCACCAGCAGAGGACTTGTGCGCCCTGTGGGGAGAAAAGGATGGGGGGTCTTCCTGTCTTCTCTTGGCTCAAGCTGCCCAGCGGGTGGGCCCAGGGTGGGCCTAAAACCAGTCTCATTCCCTTCTCACAAAGCACCTCCCTGCTGAGCCGAAAACGAAGAGCCAGGGCTCAGACCACAGCCGGGCCTGGGCTTAAGGCCGGCTGGGCTGCTGTTAAGCTGCTGTGACCTCCCTGAGCACGGCTTCTTGCTACCTGCCCGTGGGGGTCTCAGTGAGGCTACCGTGAGACTGCAAGTCCCAGCCCTGCCCCGGGATGCCACCACAAAGCTGTGAGGCCAGCAGTGGGCAGCCCAGCCTGGCCCCTAGCCCACCCGGCTCTGCCTGGCAGGGAGTCTTACTCACGACAGCGAACTTCTTGTTCAGGGCCATCTGCTCGGCCAGCACGGACTGGTTGTGGAACAGGTGGGGCTGCATGTGACTCCACATGTGGGGGAACCACCAGAACTCCTTCACGTAGGACAGCAGCAGGTCGTCCCCTGCGTCCTCGGCGTCGGTACCTGCAGCCAGCACAGGAGGCTCAGCCGGCGCACCCCGCCTCCAACCTCAGCCAGGCCGCAGGAGAATTATCTGCCATCCAGCACAGACCCAAAGCCCGAAAGCCCAGCCTGGATGTGCGCTTGACTCCAAAGCCCTTCTCTTCGCTGGGCCCTGGGGACCCACCTGCGCCACACAGGGCTTGGAGCCAGACTCAGGGGTCCCCGCCCACTCTGATGTGCCTGCTCTTAGTCTCTGCACTGTTCTGACTCGGCCGCGTGTCCTTGATACATTTGCAGAGCTCCTTATGCGGCAGGGTGCTCAGTCCTGTGCCTCTTACGTATTACCACTATCACTCGGATGGGTGCGCGCTGGGAACATAGGCTGTCTGCCCCTGGGCCCTGGAGCTGCGAGCACAGACTGGCCCGAGGATTCTGCTGAGACTTCCAGCGAGGCTGTCCTTGCTCACATGCAGACTTCGATGGAAAGTGGATCCCTGCACATGCAGTTAGGTCACAATTGAGCACCCACGCTATCACTGGGTGCCCCTTAGCATCCATTTAAATTTGTGCCAGTTTTTCATCTTTTCTGTTTTCTTTGAGATTGAGGTTTTTATTTCTTTTACCTTGTTATCGCTGTTGGTTTTTGGTTATTAATGTCTTTCTATGAAATCCAGGTTAGGTAAAGCTATAGAAGCAGTAACTGGGTTCATGCTTCCTTGGGGGTGTGGCAGGGCAGGTTGCGGGGAAATGGGGAGCTAATGACAATGAGTACCAGACTGAAGAAAATGTTCTACAACTACTGTTTGTGGTGTTGATGGTATAAACTGTTCTTGAGGTGAATGAACTCCTAAATTGAGTATCGGTGAGTTATATGCCGATAAAACTGCTGGGGACACAGAGCCCAGAGATGGCTGTTAACTGAATGGTCCGTGATGGTGCCCGCTCAGGGTTTGCTCCCTCTTGCCCAATCCCTGAAGGGCAGCATGGGAGGACCCTGGGTGTGCTCAGAGGGAGGAGGCAGGCAGGAACCACTCAACCCAGAGCCTGTGTCCCTGACCTTAAAGTAAAGGGGCAGAGCCATCTCCTTTTCCATTGTATCTGCTTCTGCACTGTTCCTCTCTGTGGTGCTGCTATCAGCAGAAGCACCACAGGAATCTTCAATGGCAGGGAGCGTCAGAAGAGGCCCTGGAGGCACTGTGGGTTGGGTGTCAGATGCTAACCACAAGGTCAGTGGTTCAAAACCAGCATCGGCTCTGCAAGGGATTGATGAGACTGTCTGCTCCTATAAAGGCTTACAGTCTCGGAAACACTGTGTGGGCTGGGCTTCATGGCAGTGGGCTTGGTGTTTTTGGAGGTTGGAAGGAATCAGAATGGAGAAGCTGCCCTAACCAGAGTAATACAAGCTGCACCTGCCCTCAGTGACCTTACCCTGGAAGGGCCTGGGGCAGTGACCAGCTCTTGTCTCTAGAGAGGCCAGAGTCAAATCTGCACCTAGCCTGGGTCGGTTCCGCCCACCGCTGCTGCCTCTTGCAACACAGTGCTTGGGGGATCTGGGGGCGGATGAACCCCTGAAAGTTGCCAGTAGAGGCAGGGCCAGGCCACTTACCTGTGTGGAAGAATTTCCCTGAGTAGCCCAGGTTGAAGGTGAAGTTTGGGATGTGTGTGCGAAGTTCATTCTGTGTGTCAAACAGGGCCTTGGGGAGAGAAAGGGAGACCCGGTGAGGGGTAGTCAAAGCTGCCAGCAACTCCTGCTGGGGCCGGCAAGGCCCACTACACTGTTTGCACAGGCCCCTCGGGGCAAAATCAAACTGCAGCCCTTTGTCCAAAAAGCCATTCCCAAGTTCATGACAGCAACAACAGGGGCCTTCTGCGGGTGGGCCCAGCTTGGACCTTAGGCGAGAAAGACCTGCAATCAGTTGGTCTCTGAGAGGCATCCTTGAGAAAGGACATGTTTCTGGACCTCAGCTTCCCCAACCGTAACACGGGAACACTGTCTGTCTGTTGGCTCCCCCGTGGGGCTCTCGGAGAACTAATGAACTGTGCACAGAAAGCCCCCAGACGGGTGTTTAAGCTGGGGGCTGCTGACGTGTATGGGGTCCCTGCCACAGTGTGCTGTACACGTGGAGGGTCTCTCCTCTGGGCCAGGCCAGTGTCCAGGGACCATGGTTTTTCCCAAGATGCCCAGGTGCCCAAGGTTCCAATGCAGGGCACACCCAGAGCTTTGCAAGTCAGTGAGGGGCGCTGACGCTCCTGAGACAAGTGTTGCGTTATACTCTGCGTTCAGGAGGAAAACAAAGTCCCTGTGCTGCACGATTCACGGGCTGTGGTGAAGACATGTGCAAGAGACTGGTTTCAGAAAACTCTGCAAAGACAAAGCCCTGGCCCGTCCGGGCAGTGCTGTCACCTCCGGCGAGCGACCGAGCTCGCGGGCTCCAGCTGTGTGCCCTCGCAGGTGACATCTCCTCGGAGCCTCCGTGTCCTCTGTGAAAAGGGAGGTTGGGGATCCCCACCCCCGGGGCTGCTGTGAGGACAGGTGGCGGGGACAGAGGGCCGGGACCAAACCGCTCCTGTGCTCCTGTCTTGGACCATGCCACGCTGCAGCCCACCCACGCATGCTAATGAGGTGGCAGGACAGACTCCACTGGAGCCTGGAGCAGGTGGGCAGGGGTCAAGGGGAGGCCTTGCGGATGGTGCTGAAGGGCCCTGAGAAGGGGTGCTGGAGGGGAACAGGCAGCCTGCTGCGCTGGGCACAGCGTGGAGTGCCTCTCTCAGCACTCCTCCCCACAAAGGGCCCCAGGGACCGCAGGCTGGACACCTGACTTCCTCGAGGGTCCACCCTGGCCACAGGCAGCCTCACCAGGCCTCTCCCTGGAGCAGAGCTCGAGGCCCAGGGCCCCCACAGGAAGACGGCCACTGGACCCGCCGGGACTTCGGAATGTTCACGAGGAAACGGAAAGTTCCCCGTTATCTTTCAATTCCACTCTCACGTGACAGCGGCACCACGTGAGGTCTGGGAGCAGGAGGGCTCAGAGGAGGCTCCTTCGCCTCTCACAGGAGGGACCCCTCAGGGGAACACAAGGCGGCAAGCAGCTCCCAGAAACACCCTGATGGAAGAGGCATGGGGGCCAGGGGGCTCTGGGCCTGGCCCAGCGGCCTCCCTGATTACCCCTCCGAGGACTTCCCATCTATCTCCTCCCTCTCGGCTTTGACAGCTGAGACTCAGACGACCGGGATTGCCCAAGAGTCCCCAGTCAACTGGGGTCAAATTGGGGCTGGAAGCCAAGTCTGGGCAGCCCACAAACACAGGCCCTGCCCGGGCAAACCCCCACAGTGGCCAATGAGGAAAGTATCTCTCTACAAGCCTCTTTTTATCGCCTGCAACTAACATCAAAAAGAAGTCTTAGGTTGGTGCTAATATGTTTCTGACACTTGCTAATCTCAGATGAGAGGACAGCAGCATGGGCCTGGCAGACGCTCCCTGGGGAATTTAATCCCTGTTTTGTTTCCACCAGATTTATTGTGATGGTTGTCTCTATTTATGGCATCTGATACCAACTTTCCACTTAGACCAGTGATGTGGTTTCTTTTGCAAGTAAGTTTAAATGTGGGAGTTGATTAAAACTGTCTTTCAAAGGCTGCCTGCCGACCCTGGTGCTTCAGCTACTTCCCTTCAAAGGTGACCGGTCTGTCTGCATACGAGTGCTACGCTATGGTTTACACACAGTTTACTGGGGGAACATGTTTTGAATTAAGAGCTCCTGCCAGGCCACCCCTGACTTGGGCGGCCCCATGAACCAGGAGAGGAGACCACTGGGACCCTTGCAGTGGCTTGCACCCACTGACTTGGCTCAGGAGGGACTGCCTCCCCAGTCTCTCTTCCCAGTCTGCCGTCTGGAAGCTCCACCAGGGCCTGTCCCCTGGCAGAGCCGCACACAGGCCTCCCCTGGACGGGCTGCACCCACCAGCCAGGCTGCCTCCTGCGTGGGGCCCGACCATACCTTCACGTCGTCCACCTGCATGCGTGTGCCCTCCTTGCCCACGAAGATGTCGTCGATGTCCACCAGGATGTAGCGGTCCAGCGGCAGTGAGAGACGCTTGCCCGTGAGGAAGGCCACAGCGTCCACGAAGACCAGCTTGTGCAGCCAGAAGCCAAGGTTGTTGCCGAACAGCACCCGCTGGATGCCGTCATGCAGGCCCAGGTCCTGCACCACGGTGGCGTGCAGTGCAGCGTGCAGCGCGGCGTCCGCGCCCAGGTGTGGGATGGACTCGGACGAGCGCGTCTTGGCCAGCAGCACCGGCTCGTAGGTGGAGTGGTTGGACTGGAACACAGTCCAGTCCTCGCCGGGCAGCACGCCCTTCTCCACCTCGCTGGGCCGCGTCACGTACAGCAGTGGGGACTTGGGGTTGATGCTGCAGTCCTTTAAGCCCAGGTTCGAGTGCAGGAACAGTGGGAAGCCTTTAAGTTGTGCGCTCAGCAGGCTGTTCTCATTGGCCTGTAGCCGGAGGCAGGGGACAGAGCTGTCAGATGCACAGTCCCTGGCCAGCCCAGGGTTTCAGACACCGACAGCAATGTACTCACTAATGGTCCTGCAGGGTCACCGAGCTCCTGACTCACAGCCCCAGCCCCCGACCCATAATACCCTCACAGATCCAACGTGCTTACCCCACCGGGCACGCAGCAGAAACACTGCGCACCCTCACAGCGCCACCCCATGTGACAGACGGTGGGGATGTGGCACTGAGGCGCAGGCCAAGTCCACTGTGAGATGAAGACCTAACTGGGTCTATATGACTGTGCTCTCTGACTGCCTGGCCTCAGCGGGGCAGGGGGCTGTGTGTGTGTGTGGGGGGGGGAGTGGCTGGCACAGGGCTGGGATTGGGAATCTGAGCATTCTCAACCTCTCCTTCTGGCTGGCTCACATCAGCCTCTGCAGGCAGGCTCCCCATGGGTGAGGAAAGTGCCCTTGGGTGGTCTGGCCCTGGAGCCTCTTGTCCCTACCCAGCAACCTGACTGCCTGGGGTTCCAGTGACTGGCCTGGAGGAAGGCACACTCAAAGCAGGGAGAAAAGATCAGAGGAGGCATCTCTGCTGTGGTGAGTGAAGATCATTCATTGCCTTCTCAGCCCCCACAAATCCCTAGTGCCCCGGAGGCATGTGGAAACACTGAGGTCAGCCCCTCCCAGGAGCACCAGGTCCCATGGCCCTCCTTCCCCCACACCCACTGTCACTTCTCCTGAGCCTCCTGCTTCCCAGCTTCCTGGGGACCTGCAGACAATGGCCAAGACCCCCTTCTCCTGTTCTGGGCCCACTGCCCGTCTCCCTCGTGGTCTCCCCACAGGCCACAGTCAGGCTCTCATGTCCTTGCAGCTGGCTGCCTCGGGACAGGGTTCAGTTTATCCTCTCCTTGTGCCTGTTCTGTTTTGCCTTATTGGCCTAACAAGCTCCGACTCATCTTCCCACACCCCGCGTGGGTGTCCTCCCCGGGGCGAGGTCTAAGCCTGCTGCACGCCCTGCCCGCTCCGGGCCTCTCCCCCGCCAGCCTGGGCCAGCTCAAGGGCAGGCCCTGCATCGGAACACTTTGGAGCCTGACGCCAGTGGGGGCACATGCGTTAGATGGACAAGCCGGGCTTTTCAAAAGAATTAAGGAGGAGCAGACTGGCCCTCAGGGCCTGGCACGTGGTGCCTGCTTCACACAGGTTTTTGTGTGCTCAGCCCACAGCTGTTCCCTGTGCCAGGCGCTGTGTGAGTGGCAAGGAGACCGTGAAAAAGACATGAGGGCCCCTTGCCTCTCGTGCCTTAAAGCCAAGCAGGGAAGAGAGACAGGATCACAGGACCACGCGGAGAGACATGCGACTGTGAGGTGGCACATGCTGGGCAGAGAAAGACCCCATCTCCAGGAGAGCAGAATGTCCCAGACAGAGGGACTCTGGAGGTAAGGTTTAAAGAATGAGCAACTGTCCGTGAGGGGAGAGGGGAGGGGCCAAGTTCCAAGAGCAGCAAGTGCAAAGGCCCTGAGGTAGGAAAGGGCTCCCCAAGGTCAAGCAGCTAAGGGAGCCAGGGGGGAGGGAAGGAGATAGGCAGAAAGGACACGGGTTGGAGAGGCCCAGCTTCCAGGACTCGGGATTTTGTTCTCGAGCAAGCGGAAGTCATCAAAGGCCGCATCAGAGGGTTTTGCACCGAGGCGTGACAGTGCCATTTGCATCTTGAAAAGCTCCATCTGGCTGCCAGGTGGAGGAGAAGCAGCGAGGCGGGCAAACACCAGTGGACAGCAAAGCTCAGGAAGTGGGTCTGGTCCCAGCCCCCTCGGAGAGCCATCCGGTAGCCGTGGGGACAGGTGGGGGCTGACATCGCGGTGAGCCTGGTGCCACAGGGCAGACCTGTGTATGCCCAGAAGGGCGCCTTTGGCTAATCCCCTCCATACGCAAGTGCTCTTTTCTAGTTCCCACAAAGGCTCTGCAGGGCCCTGGCCTGGTAAACCACAAAGCAGGGTCTGGGTTTGATTCCAAACACCAGGAGGGTGTGCCAGCCTCTTACCCCATCCCAAGGCGGCCTCCGGTGTTGAGGTCCGATGCACAGCACCATCCTGAAAGGCCAGGCCCCTAGCCCTGCTGCCCCCCCCCCCACCCCACCCCCACCCCGAAATCGGCGCTGGCCAAGCACGGGGGCTGTGTGAGCCAAGGTGCCTGCGGCCGATGACGTTTCCGGGATTGCCCCATCATCTGCTGCGGGCCTGGGAGGCTACACTGGACCATGGGTGCGGGAGGCCCCCATTTCAAAGCCCTGACCCTGACCTGAACCCCAGGTGCTGGTAGCTCAGCCAATGGCCCAGCTGGGAGCCATCAAAGGAAGGAGAAAGCCAAGTCTCAGATCACCCGCCCAGCCAGCAAGGAAAGAAGCCAACCGGGAGGGGACGAAGGTGAGGCTGCACTGGTAGAGCTGAACCCACTGCAGGTCTCTGCAGGCCTCATCCCACTAAAGGAGAAAACCTCACTGCCCTCCAACCCACTCGGACCCACCATGACAGCGAGAGTTTTGAGGATCTGTACAGAAACAAGTTCTGCTAGGTCTGTCTTTCTCTCACAGCTCTGCTGGGGGCTCTGAACAGCCAACATTCGGGTTAGTAGCCCAGAGCAAACCGTTCACCCGAAGGAGACGGGCCTCACCCCGCCCTGCAGGAGAGGGTCTGCCTCCTGGTCCTCAGTCCTGAGCACACCAGAGGGTAAATGCTCTACCCCATCCGATCAGCAACCACTACTGCCTGCCCTGAGTCAGGCCCTCTGTCAGGAGTCCTGGTGACCACAGGTCAGCAGTTCAAAACCACCAGCCACCCCCAGGGAGAAAGACGCGGCTTTCTATTCCCATAGGGAGCTACAGCCTCAGAAACCCACGGGGGCAGTTCTGCCCTGTGGGTCGGAATGAACTCGATGGCAGCGAGTTTGGTTTGGGCGACTTGGGTGAGGTAGGACCTGCTCTCCCCAAGGACCACAAGGAGCACCTGTTGGTCAGACACGGGACATACACCTGGCGTCTTTGCGGAACTAAAATTTAAAAACTCACTGCCATCGGTCCAACGCCAACTCCTAGCAACCCTATACGATGACAAAACATGCCAGCTGCCCTTGCCGGCACTGTCTCTGGCACCTCACTTGTCCGTGCTGTATCTTCAACATGCCCCAGTGAGGCAGGCGCTGGCTGGGACTGGCCTGCTGTAGGGACGGGGCGAGCGGCCTGCCCACGATCATGATGGTTAGGGGAGAGAACAAGCTGAATCAGGGTCTGCACTTTAAAGTCCATGCTGGGAACCAGCCACCAGGGGGAACTGGAAACTGTACGTCACCAGATCGGAAAGCCAACAACCCTCCAGTTTGCCAAGCCCACCCCCACCCCGCCGCCCCCAGTACACAGCACCCAAAGTGTCCTCGTAGCCTTGCAGTGTGACCACCAGAGGGCGCCCACTGGAGCACAGAAACCTCAGGCTCAAACCCTGCCAGGCTACGCCAAGGCAGGAAGGGCAGGGGGACCTGGACCGCGGTGGCCGCGGTCCCCGCATTGAGGCTTCAAGGGCTCCTGCAGGTGAGTAATGGGGCTAGAAGGGCTCCAAGCACCATGACACCAATTGTGCTCACGAGCCCAGCCCAGTAGCTGGGCCCCAGACACGGGGGACCCTGAGGGCTAGCTGTGTCCCCTGGAGCCAGTCAGTGGTGTGCTGCAGACTGGGTGAGGCAGGGTCTGTGGAGACAGGCTGCCAGGGTTCACACCCTGGACCTATGCTTATTAGACACATGACCACAGCACACCTCCCAGCCCTGCCGCCTGCCCCTCCTCTCTTCAATCAGGGAGCTGCCCATCGGCCTCAGTGGAGGGTGGCAGTGTCATTTCAGGGGCCATGGGGAGGGCAGAGGTGGCACTGAGTGAGCACCTGCCGACACCCGTCCTGACACGTCTAGGGCACGGGGCTTGGGACCAGGTATGCCGAAGTTCACGGTGGAAGCGGGTACAAAGTTCAGGGGAAGAGGTAAACCAGGACACTGTGGTGCTGTAAAGCCATCAACTGGGCCAGCATTTTCCCCAGGGTGCTCTGTACTGCAGCAGGTGGAAAGCAGAGCTCCCAGCTGCGGAGCAAGCATCCCCCTGCGCTAGGTGCGAAAGCCCCCACCCCCACCCCTCCACCCCCAAGGGCCAGCTCCGGGCTGCTGGCCGCTAGCACAGAGCAGCAGGCCAACCAGGAGAGCTGCCTCCGCCCACCTGTAGGTGGACAGCAGGGTGCTCAGCAGCTAAGCAACAAGGTTGACAGTTTGAAGCTGGGCAGTGGCTCTGTGCTGTGGGAACAAGGCCTGGCACTCCGTCCCATACAGATCACAGCCTGGGGCCAGTTCTACCCTAGGGACCAGTTCTACTCACCTACGTCATGAGCCAGAATCCCCACCTGACAACAACAGGTGGATTGGCCACCTTCTCCCTACTCACATGGAGGGCCCCTTCGCCACACACCCCCTGGGGTCCCTTTATCAGAGGTCGCACCAGAACGAGTACCCACAACCACTGACCTATCTGCCCTTCACTGTGCCCACTCGCACACATCTGTTTTCCCACTGTCTGAGGGTCAGCACCCAAGAGCAGGGCCTTTGGCCACCTCCTCCCTCTGTGATACCCTGAGGAGATGTCCACAATGTTCCCCAAAGCTCGCTTCGGGCCAGCAGTCACTCACGCGAGGTCTGGTAGTGACCTCGGGCCTGTGCCTCCCCTTCCCCAGGATTCTCAGCAGCACCCTCTCATCAGGGACCCCAATCCCAGCAGTGGCTACAAGTACCCCACACAGCTCCCCACCTGCCCCCTGAGGTTGCCTGGTCCCCTTTCTCCCAGTGCAAAAGGGCCCCGGATGGGAGGGGCATGGGATAGAGAGCCTACCCTGGGGTCTAATCCTGCCCCCCCCAAGCCCCCCACCCCTTACAGGCTGCATAGTCACAGAGAAGCAATTGATTTGCCTTGGTTTGCTTATCTGTAAAATGGGCACATGCTGCCTCCCCCAGGAGGCTGCTGTCGAGGTTTAGAAGCACCTAGCAATGCAAGACCCCTGCCCAGGGCCTGCCCCTGCCACGTGCCCACAATTAGGGTTAGCACTCACTAGAGACCGCCACCCCCACCCCACCCCCCATACTCCCAGGGCTTGGCACGCATTCTGTGCCACCTGGCCCCGCACACATTGTACCTTGAAGAAGCCGATGATGCCCACACCGTACGCCACACAGTACTTGTCGAGCAGCTCCCGGTTCCAGGCGTCCAGGTTGACATACTTGAGGATGTTCTCGTAGATGATGAGGGCGAAGCGGCCGCGGCCCTTGTCGGTGAGCGTGGGCATGTCACCTTTGCCCGGCGCGATCTCTGTGCGGTACTTGAAGCGGCTGGACTCCAGGATGGCCACCACCTCCTGGCCCAGCTGCGAGTAGAGGCTCTCCACGAACACCAGCACCAGCGGGTCGGTTCGGGAAGGGGCGACCGCCTGCACGGGCTTCAGCGGCAACAGGCGGCTGGGGGCCACGGGCGGTGGGTCCCCGCAGTCGGGCTCGGGCGCCTCCGCCGAGGGCTCCAGGCCCCGCTTCCAGCCATACAGGTAGTAGGCGGAGACGAAAACGCTGAGCAGGCAGAAGAGGAACAGCAGGAAGAGCACGGCCTGCGGGGACACGTGCCGACACAGCCGCCGCAGGCGCGGCGCGGTGGGCATCCTGGTCCCGCGACTCGGCCGCTAGACGCCAGGCCGGCCCTGGTCGCCCCACGGCCACGCGCAAGAGACGCGACAGATGAGAGTCCACCGGCCAACAAATTCACAGAGATGCGGGAAGCA